TCTCTCTCTCTCTCTCTCTCTCTCTCTCTCTCTCTCTCTCTCTCTCTCTCTCTCTCTCTCTCTTTTACAATAGGGGTTCCCTGCTAAGAAGGCAGTTCACATGAATGCGTAAAAGTTGGCAAGTATCTGACACGGATGCACTTTCTCCGTACGTGTAGTGGGGCGGTCGCCGTTCGCATGTACGATAAGTATGGTATCAAACACTGGCGACGAATTGCGTGAAGTAGAAGTTTGTGACTTGAACATGGACACAGATGTGGAGGCGAGACACGACGAGAGCACAACGGCCGTGTTGACAGCATGTAGGGCAGAGATCGAAAACCAACAGCGACAGATCTTTAACATCGCATTAGAGCTTCATTACCATAAACAATTGTTGACTCAGTCTCGAGAAGAGCTCGAGCGTGTTAAACTACAGCTTGCTGACAAGTTGGCAGACGCGGAACAAAGAATGCGCAGTGTGAGGTGGCTGCGAAAAGTGTGGCATGACAATACTGCGGAGAAAGAAAATATGAAGAAGAGAGTGAAAGAGTTAGAAGACCTGTTAGAAACGCGCAATCCAAGACGGTCTACAATAGTGCAGAGCCCTGCATGGGACCTTATGTCCTGTACTGACAACGAAAAATGTGTTCTAAGGGAAGGATGGACATCTTACAATAGCCAGGACGACGGAGTTGTCTCGGTCTGCACATCCGACGAAAGCATCTGCGACCTGTTGACATTCTCGCATGATTGTATTTTTCATTGTTTAGAAACTACACGACATTATACCGCATGTGCACAAGTTGGGGGCGAAGACAAAGCAGGGGTGGGCAGAGATATTCCAACCAAAACTGATACTTTGGTTAACGCTTGCATGAATATCATAGATACATTACAATACACACGTGGACGCATGAGTTCTGAAGATTTAGTAGTATTACGCAAGCGGGATAGGGTCATTTCCAATGTCGACATCGATGACGATCAGAATTTGAAGGTGCAAGATGGTGTGGCAGACATGCGATCCTCGAATGAGCTACATACAATGCTTACATGCAAGGATGTTATGTGTCTCCAATCATTCAGTGTTTGGCATAATTATCCGTGTGTTTTTGCCAGCACTGCGCCGTCGTTGACGGAAGAATTGTGTAATGTTCCACTAACGACCGATAATTTTGACGATTTCAGTGCGACAGCTAACAAACGTCAATTGTTGCGGTTCGTCGTGGATTGTGTGTCCCACCTGCTATCTGTACTGAAAGAGATGATGTATGTTGTTCAAGGCAACTATGGTCGGACTGCCGAGGCCACAAAATGCGAATATTGTTGCAGAGTCAGCCGCGTGTCGGCTCGCTTGCAGACTTTCCAGAACAGATGTAAATCTGTATGTGCCCGCCTCCTAAAAGAAGCGTAACCTCTCTCTCTCTCTCTCTCTCTCTCTCTCTCTCTCTCTCTCTCTCCACACACACACACACACCCTTTGTTAGTTTTTTGCTCGGCTTGTTCCGATCAGCAGTGGTGTGTGTGTCAAGGTCGGTTCACTACTGGGGGCCAAGCGTTCTGCCTTACGGTATTGTGTGTGTACAAATGACACGCACTAGCCAACCATCCCCTGTGGTGTCTTCATGTCCCCGGTGGTGCGGAGATGGCGCATGTTTGACAGCTGTTCGCTGGGCTTCACATAAGGACTCGCATACGGTTGTATGTCCCCGATGGTGCGTAGATGGCGACTGTTTGGCAGTTGTTCGCTGTTCGTTGGGCTTCACATACGGTTGTATGTCCCATGACATACGACTGTGGCGTAGATATCAACATGATACTGAGAGACCCTCTTGGCGTTCCATTTTATGTGACATACACAGATGGAGTGTTGCGTTACGTCCAATACATGCCTGGGGAGGATTCGCAAACAATGTGCAATGATTGGAAACGAAGAAGTGGGCACGATAAGGAGACACACTTTTCATCAGAGGCGGAGAGCCCGGATGGGGGCAAAGATGTGGAGAGGCCAGATGAAGAAAACTTGAATGACGCAGGTTGTGGTGATGTGGAACAGGGAATGGGGGATGCAGAACCATCTGCAAGGTTACAACAGGGAATGGGGGGTGCAAAACCATCTGCGAGGTTAGAACAGGGAATGGGGGGTGTAAAACCATCTGCGAGGTTAGAACAGGGAATGGGCGGTGCAGAACCATCTGCGAGATTAAAAGAAAAAATGGGGGGTGCAGAACCATCTGCAAGGTCAAACGAGATGATGAGGGAGAAGACAAAGAAGCAGAATTGCGGCGTGTCGAAAGGCAACGGCAAAGCACCAGCTGTGGGGGACATAAAGATCCCAAGTAAGCAAAAAATTGGGGTTGCAAAGCGGCGACGACGTCCTGGGAAGGCTACATTAGCAGAAATCCGCCACCTGCAACGCACTGTTCATCTTTGCTTGCCTTTCAAGCCATTCTTGAGGCTTGTACGGGAGATCGTCAACAAAGATGTGGCACCTGGACGTGGGATGAGGTTCGAGTTGGTTGGAATGCGTGCACTCCTGAAGGCTGTTGAAGCATACCTCGTGCATCTCATGGAGAATACAAATGAGCTTGCGATCCACGTGAAGAGGGTGACAATAAACGTGAAGGACATGAGGCTCGCTGATGCGCTATGGAAACCACGGTGGGCCGTGGTTTTGAAAGGCGTCCAGGATAAGAGAAGGGCAGAAGAAGAGAGGGTGAGGAGGAGAGAGGAAAGGACAGCGGGTCGTACATCGGATAAGTCGGGCACGTCAAAGAGGAAAGGTGTGCCCCACAAAGGAAATGCGAGTAAAAAAACATGATATGAAAAACGAGACTGTCATCACCATACTTATCATGTTTTCCCAATAGACAATGGTATGTAAACCTCCACACATGTGTGATTGTAGAATTTGTGTACGGAACGGATCTTACTAGCTCTTTGGTCTATGGTATCACTACATGAGACAAGACATTAATTTATTGAGGTGTTGAGGACCCAAGGCATGCGAGGATATGATGTCGGTGGTTGGGAGAGAAAGGATCACTATGCAGTCTGTTTAGATATGATGTCGGTGAATGAGACACAAACGCGAGTTTTTGAGATAGACAAACGGTGATTGTGTAGAGTGAGAAGGAGTTGATGGTAACATGGGTTGTTTCATAGTTGGTGCTTGACAGCAGACACGTGTGTTTGTAGTACATCTTCTGCTTTCATGCATGCTTTATTTTACACTATGTTTTTGGATTTGTTATTGTTTTTTTATCGCATCTCAGTCACAGTTTTGTTTCTTATCGTTTTTTTTTTTTTTTTTTTTTTT